TTTACTCAGTTTCATACTGTAAATAGTATACTCCTGTGACATGTGTTAATATGACTCACTGATCCATAACAAATTTCTCTATTTTTGTAAATAGAGGCATGATCAAGAGGATTCTAAATGAAGAACCTGATTCATCAGTATTGATTCATCTGAATAACGAGGTATGTTTATATACTCTGCACAATTAGAAATATAAATATTTAAATCATGAGCAGAGTCCCACCTATGTTCAAAATCATCACAAAAACCTATCCCTCTAAAGTTTGAACCAGTTTCGTCTCTCATAGAATCCTCACTACATAAAACCCCTAGAATCTAGGGAAGCTTAACCGCTTATTCAACCTGAAGTTTTAGGTTGATTGGACTTCTAATTGACTACAAAAAGCTGTTGTTAGTCATTAATCAGGCCTCTCTATTTAAGAACCCATCATCACAATCACTGCCACTCTCATAATTCTCTAAACCATCGAATTTCTTCTTTCACTCTCAATTGCTCTCTATTCCAAAAGCCAAACTCACAAATTCTCTCACGAAATCATTCACAATGTCTAACCCCCAAGATAACCCAGGCACTCCTCCGCAACCTACCCCCTCTGATTCATCCACCCCTCCTCCACCAAGCACAACCCCTCAACCTAGGAGAAGGCGAGTAAAAATGCTTGCTCATAAAACGGTGGCAACTGGTGCTCTTTCAAAGAAATTGAACGAGAAATTAAAGTCAAGCCAAGACCAAGATTCTAAGAACTCAGATGATTCGTTCAAATCTGCAAGTGAGGGGGAAGGAACTGGGTCTTCTGACTTTGAGAAGGCTAAAAACTCCTCTTCTGAGGTACGTTCTGTTTTGGTTGAGAATGTAAACAATAGGTTTGTTCTTGTTGGGTCTGTTAGGAATGTGGAATTGCCTGAGTCAAGAAGGAGAGGTGGTAAAAATAAAGGTGAAAAAGAAAAGGAGAGTGAGGGTATGCGTAGTAATGTGAAGGGAAAAGGGAAAGAAGTGGTTGGTTCTTCACCCACTTCTGAATTGGTGGTACCAGCTATCTGTGGGGTTGAACATGCAACTGTGGAAGAAAGTAGCAAGAAGACAGGGGGAAGTGGCTCAGGGGAGGCTGCTGAAGGGTTGGTTAATCTTAGTTCACAGGCAAATGAACCTAGTTCATCTGTTGAGGAGGCCCTAGCAGACCTTCTAAAGAAAGTGGGTGCTAGCTATGATCCAAAGAAAAGGAGAACCCCAACACCAAAAGCCCCTAGCACTGCAAAACCTTCCAAGAAAAGAAAGGCTTCTTCTCCAACAACTGCTGAAATTCCCTTGCCAAAGGGGAGAGCCACAAGAAGTATGGTGAAACAGAGTGAGAGTGAATTACAAAAGGCTTTGGCTGAAAGCAAGAAGAAGAGGATGGATAAAGGAAAAGCTAAGGTTGCAGAGCCTTCTGAGGCTGTTGATGTTGAGGAGATGGAACAGGTCCATCAGGAGGAACATACAACTGTGAAGGTTCAGACCCCCAAGCCTAAAAAGACCAAGATTCTCTTCCAAGAAGTCTTCATCAGGGTCTAAGGCTGCTGAACCTTCATTGGCCAAGAAGACAAGGTCTGCAGTGAAAAATAAACCAGTTAGAATTGCTGAGGATGAAGAATGGAGTGGTGAAGACGAGAGTGAGTCTGATGGTGAACAAGACAAGCTGGCCAAGTTTGGCAAAAGAAAATTTTTTGAAGGGTAGATTGCTGAAAGACTTGGTGGAACCACGAATGGTTCGGTTGGTTGATGCACTAGCTGCTCAGGGCTGGAAGGACATGGTCCTTCAGATGGATGGAAGGCTAGCTAGGAATGAAATCATTGAATTTATTTCCAGTGCAAAGGTCAAGGATGGTAGAGTTACCAGCCAAGTGAACGGGGTTCAAGTGACCTTCGATGCAGAGAAGCAAGGTGAGATTCTTGACATTCCTGCTGAGGAATATGATGACTATACTAGGCAAAGATGGCCAAATCTGGATTCCCTTCCTCCTTCCCTTGAAATCACTAGGAGATTCTGTGATGTTGAAGAAGTGAATGAGGCCAAGTTTGTGCACAAGAGTTAAATGAAGCCACAACACAAAGTCCAGTTTGAATTTGTCAACAAGTGCTTACTGCCTAGGCAGAAAAGAAAGCACATTGCTAATTATATGGACTTAGTTCTAATGGAGTGTCTCGAAAGTGCAAGGCAAATCAACTGGCATGCATTCATCATCAAGCTACTCGACAGAGTTATCAATGACTCCAAGGTCCATGCTACTCCTTATGGGTTAATTCTGACTACTGTGCTTGATCGTTGTAAGGTGCCACTGAAGAAGTGGGAAATGGCCACAAGCAAGGATCACTTTGGAATTAACACTTTGATTGCTTGTGACTATGAGGTCACTGCCATTCCTAATGAACCTGGTTCATCCAAGAAGACACCTATAAATAGCAAAGTCAGAGCTCTAGTGCAGGAGAGTGGGGCAAAGGATATTGAGATAGCTAGGCTGAAAGCTCGCTTAGCAGAGGTTGAATCTGAGAGGGATGCTCTCAGAACTGAGCTCACCAAGGAAAAGGAGAAGAATGAGGGCATTCTTCAAAATATGCTGAACCTTCTCCAAGCCCAAAACCAACCCTCTAGCTCTCCCAAGCCTTAGGACTTCTAGCCTTCATCTCCTGAACCTGTCTAGTACCACTAGTGACCCAGATTAGGGATTTCTCTTTCTTTTGCTCATGTTTTGAATATTTTTGCTTTCTTTCTGTGGATTGTGGTAGCAACATATCTCCTATCAATGAAATCTACTGTTTTTGCTTTTGTTGATTGTTAATATTTCATTGATAGTTTGAATATATTTTTTTGATTACTGATGATTAATCCATGATTGCACTTGCAGTTGCCCAGTGGCCATGAGTAATTGTTAAAATTCTGGGAATCACACTTTGTTTATGCAAATTTTCGATGATGCTAAAAGGGGAAGAGATATTGCGCTTTATATATTCGAAATAAGTGATGTTTATAACCTGATGAACCCGGTCCTTGATGATAAGTAAAATTTTTCTAACTTTGTATTGATGAATAAGCTGAGTTCTGACAGGGCCTAATTGAGTGAAAAAGAGTTTGTCATCATCAAAAAGGGGGAATTTGTTGGCCCAAGTAAAGGTGAAGTTTTGAAGATTGACAAAGGAATTCAGACATGGACCAGGTCCATCTTGTGAAGCACAGTTATGATCAACTCAAACATGTGAGATGCACGTGAAGGTGATAAACCTAACTTATCAGAAGTGATATCTCCTGATCATGATCGAAAAGGTTGCATATTGGATAAGGAGAAAGACTTCTTACACAAAGAGAAACACGGCTTAAGAAATGGATAGAGTTAGAGGATGAGACAAACTAGAACTCTTCCACCGAGGAAGAGTAGCTTCTGTATTCTAGTCAATCTTTTTTTACTAACTCTATAAATATCAATGTTGTTCTCTTTTACAGGTAATGCACATAAACAGAAGTTAAACGTGAATTGAGAGCAAAATAGCAAGGCAAGTTTGCAAGCAATTTATGTGTGATTCAAGCGTGCAATCCTGAAGCTACTTGAACCAGATAAAAGAACAAGTTCCAAGTGTCTGTGTTTTATTCTAGTTCAATTGTAGTAGGTGTTTTAATATTGTACCTTTCAGCTTTATCTAGAAGCAATTGTATTAGGTACTTAGAGTTTTCAAGTTAGAGTTAACTTAAAGTTGTCACAACAGTTGAGGCTGTGTGCCACAACGGGATTAGAGTTAATCCTAGGTTTACAAAAGAGTTTTTTGTAAATGCAGTTTTTGGCTCAATGTTTTTAGTGGAGAGTTTGGGAAAATCCTACTGGAAAGTAGGTCGTGGTTTTTTCACCTTTTGAGCCAGGTATTTTCCACGTAAAAATCTCTGTGTTCTTTATTTTCTGTATTTATTATTCCGTAACAGTAGTAGTTGGAACACATAGAAGAACCAGGTCCTTCTATAATCTAGATAAGCGAAAATTGGGTACCACACAAATCACCCCCCCCCCCCTCCTCTTGTGTGGTATTGAAGTATAAAACATCAGTAATCACTCCCAAAATTACGGCTTAGAACTTCGAGAATAAAGTAAAGAATAATTGTATAAATTTCAATAATTGTTTCATGCCATTACAAATGAGATTTCAGTCCTTATATAGGACATACAATTATAACGGTTCTCTTACTTAATTCGGTCTCACTAATGGTATTAATTGCCTTGATTACTCGTTGCCATATACAACTGTAACGGAAACAGTTATGATTAAAGATTCCTTGTAACTGTACTGATTTCCCTTCCTTATTTATGACAGGTTCGCGTATCTTCTCTTCTTCGCAGTCTTTATTCATTTCGTTCCTATTCCTTCTTTTACAGCTGTCAGCTCTGATTTTTTTCCTCAGTATAAACCCGTAGGTATTTCTCCGTGCCTTTTCCGCATTCTTTAACACGTTTAATTAAGAACGTCACTTGTCATTATATCGCTGTTCCACGTACCATGCCTTGTAAGCTTGTTGATACCCACGTGTCATATCTTTTTCCCACCAATACAATGAGCTACCGTAGTTTAACAGTATATATTCTGTATCAGTTTTCAATTCATAAAATGTAATATAATTTAATTCAACTTCAACTGTGCCGTGAAACTTTCCACAACAATGGATCTGAAGTAATATGAACATATTATTAATTGAGCAATGTATCACAATTTAGCTACATAATTTTACTTTTATTGGAAACAATTTTTTCGGATCTGATGCATCTTCAATTCTGATATCCATCTTCCGAAAATTATGGATCTGAAATTGTTTTCATAATCTAAATGTAACTATGTTAATCATGTCTCTTTCAAAGAATTTCTTTTTGGGAGATGTGGGTGAGATTAAGGAAGTCAAAATTACAAATTGCCTTATTAAAAGGGAGACGGACCAAGGCAAGACTTAAAAATAAAAGGAGCCAGTTCATCACACCATGACTATAAATTATACCCTTTGCACTGAAAGAAGATGCCCACACATAATATTTCAGAAATTGTCTAATATTAGGTAGAATGGCATATGCTAAACTTGGTTTCATTTATACTATTCTTCTCATTACAGCTACGAGTAAGTATCCATTATTTGACTTTTATCTCTTAGTGTAATTCTACATCCTTGTACTTGTAATCACTTATGTACGTAGGAATATATGTGCATATATAATATGTTATATGTATGAAAAAATATGCATGTATCTCTATGCACGACATCTGAATGTGTTTTTAATGTTATACGAGTAGTAATTTGATTTTGATAATCATGATGAAATGTTGCAGCCAATTTATTGTGGTTCTCTAACATGCAAGTTATTGCTGCACGGAGCGTTGATCATAATTTCGCACACCATCATAGGAGGCTACTCCCGCAACTTAATACTTGTACGAGATCTTGTACTAACGATAGTGATTGCACTATCGATTGTTGGATTTGCTGTAGATGTGGACTCCTCAATTTGGAAACTGACGAGCGTACATGTGGGTAGTAGAATACGAATAAAATAGTACGTTAATGTCCTAATGCAAAGACTCTTAATCCATGTTATGCATTTATGTTTCCGTGTAATTTCAATCTTTTCATCCTCTTTCTAATTTCCTCGTCTTTCATACTTTAGTTCTCCTGTTGACTTTTATATATAATTCATTACGCTTCAAATTTTCATTAATGCAACACTTCCATTCTAGCTAAACATTTCTGGGAGTTCTACTTATTCGGTGTGTTATTGAGAACTCTTTTTGGATAGAAATTACTAACCAGCAATTAGTTATGCCAATAATTTCTTAAAATAAAGATGATTAATGTGAAACAGAATATCTTTTGAATCATTACTTAACTAATGCCTTTTGCAGAACAGTTTAACTTTAAGCTATAATATCAAATACCTGGTCTAAGTTTTCCATAACGTTACGAGAACATGTACTATGTTTCAGCTCAACATTTAACGACTTTATGAGAATTCTATACTAATAATTTAAGTTGTAAAAACATTTTTCTTCGGGAAAAAGGTTACAAAGTAGAAATAAAAGCCAATAGAAAATTCATAATATCAGCATTGAATAGTAAATAGGACATGAATTTTGTATTTGTTTAGCCAAAAATTTGAGTAACAATTAAACTTGTATTGTGGTTTTAAGGATACGTGATTTAATTCAATACCAATTGATAAATAATGAATTAAGTAAATGAATTAGACGATAAAACAAATCAAACCAGTGTTGTGGCAGTGTATCGACCTCGATTCGGAACAGTCTCGAGATCAAGCAGCAAGAACAATAAAGAACAATAGAGAATAATGAGTAAATAGAGAGCAGCGTGTGAATTATTTACCAGTGAATGTGTCATTATTACAAATGAATGGGGTCCCTCTTATATAGTAGAGGAATCCTAAATAAGGTACAACTCTAATAACGAAAATAAATCATGTGATTGGTGCCGATAACTGCTTGGTATGATCTATTCCGAGATTTCCGTCGAGACCTTCGGTTGGTTGCTAATATCTCGCCATTCCGTTATTCTGCTTACTCGAGGTTGGTCATACTCGGCCTTAGTTTTTAACGAGCACATCGATCCTCAAGTTCTATTCTCTGCCATTGGGCTCGAGCCAGGTCCGTTTTTAGCTTATTCTCGAAGCAACTCCTCGAGCCTACGAAATCGGACTTACCCGATTTTGACCATATACAGATAGTCCCCGCGTTTCTTAGAGTGAAGTGATATGAAATGATTTGATCCTCGATTCTCCGATACCTCGATCACGATGTCAATTCCATGACATCAGCGACAGAAGTGACTGAAGGGTTGCGTCCGCATAGTTCCCAAGGCCATTAATTAATGGTGGCTAATGGTCGGCCACTAGTTTCCTCAAACCATTGAAGTGGCCACTACAAATAGATCAATTTCTCAATCTTTATAATCTTTACTTCCAAAACCTTTTCCTAAATCTCTACAAGCTTCTCGATTTTCTTTAAGTTCATCCTCCTCTTCAATTTGTGTTTGTCATAATATCAACTTCTTCTCCTTTCTTGAATTCCACAATAGTGATGGCTAAAACATCTAAAATTGTCCCTCAGAAAGAAAAAGCCTCCTCATCGCGGCCGGCTAGTGATAAAACGCCGGTGGAGCCTCGCATCGAGGACTGCTTTCCTGGGCCATGCGAGCTGTCTTCCGATTGCAAAGTCGAAAGACCTTCCTCAGTTCCAGGCCGATGTGAGCCCATGTCCCGATACATCTGCTCGACATTTAAAGACGATCTCGAGCGAGTGAAAAAGGACTGTAATTGGGAAAACAAGGATGTGGTGATTCCTTCCCCTGAGGAGGACATTACTACCCATGTGAAAGGGTACTTAAGTGTGTATACTTAACCTATCACATTGGGTCACGTAGATACGGTCATACTCGATTTCGGTCGCCAATATCGGTTGACCTTGGCCATGACGCTACATCGAGAAGCATTTTCCAAATCCCGGGCCAAGCTGACCCGATGCGAGGCCGAACTCAAGAAACTCGTGGAGGAGAGAGATGGCCTCAAACTCCTCTACATTCAAAAAGAAAAGGAGATTATGGAGCTCCGAGCCAAACTGACTAGGGCTCATCGAGAACAGACTGAGCTCATCGAGCAGGTAATCTAACTTTTTGGGAATTTGGTATGTATTCATTTGACTTGTCAATTAACATTTTGACTTTGCATGCCCAGTAGAAGGGCGAGCTGGTGGAACAGCTTCGAGAGGAGGCCACGATTAAGGAGGCCGAGACCCTGGGGCGGAAACAGCATATGGATCGTCTTGCCTCGGAGAAAGACACGCTTCGGGCCCAACTCACTTCAATCGATTGCCAACTGCAAAGTGTGAAGGAGGAAAGCTTAGCCTTGGCCCAGAAGATTGAGGAGCTCGAGGCTAAGTTGGCCGTCGAGCATGCAAAGGCTAAATCGGAGGCGCTTGTGGCCTCTTACCGAGTTGACGCCGAGGGTGCCAACATTCGGGCACAGGAGATCTATGTTGGCGCCGAAGTCAAATTGTCGTGTGCTGTCGATCATGCTAGGCGACAATCTCATAGAGAGACTCTCGAGGAAGAGCATGCTCGTGGCTTCAACCTCTCAGCCGATATCGAGAGTGCGAAAGCTTTAGAGGACGAGGCCTCAGCTTTGCTCTCCGATGATGAAAACTCTGCTAGTGGATCCCAGAGTGCAAGAGATGAGGATGAAGCCCCCGAAGAAGCGGCTCCCGAAGATGTGGCTCCCAAAGTGGACTAGGCCCATAGGATTTAGTTCTTTGTGTAAGGCCCCTTGTGGCCTTTGTAAATACCTTCTATGTATAAAAAGTTCCTTTTGTTTCCGCTCTATCTCTGATTTGTGATAAAGTCTGCTTTGTTTCTGCCTTGCAAAATTTTTTGTTTTTATAACTTCAATAATCGAGTGAGCATTAGCTCGATCTCAAAGTAAAACAAACCCTTAGGTGTTTAGCTAAACGAGGGCTAGTCCTCGAGCTCAGTAATATGTTCGAGATTTTTATTTCGGATGGCTTGATCGAAGCCACCACCACATTGTTTTCATAACTAAAAGTAAAACAAACCATTGGGTTTTTTATCAAATAATGGGCAAGTTTCGAACTTATAATAGAATACCTCTTAAGGTTATATGATGAATCCTCGAGCTATATTCAAGTCAATTTTATACGAGCTCGGAATAGGAACCCTTAGGTCCGATTTGAGTGAGAACAAAGTCTCGAACTCTAAATATTTTGTCACGACCCAATTCCCGAACCCGGTCGTGATGGCGCCTCTCATGAAGACAAGGCCAGCCAGAACAACGCAACACCTCTTTCAAAGCACTTAATTAATATTAACAATTCTAACACATGCTTAATATAGTCAATAATGCGGAATCAGCGATAAAAACAAAGGAAACCATCCCGACACAGCCCAAACCGGGGTGTCACAAGTCATGAGCTACTACAGAGTTTGCTATAAGTCTACAAGGAGTAATATCCGGTACAATAGTCTGAAGAAATCATAAATGATATAAGATAGGGGAGACGAGGGGCTGCGGACGTCAACAGCTACCTCGTATCTCCAAATCGCTGCCTGGTCTGGAAAGGAAATCAGCGCTCAGGTGCGGACTCTGCTATGCCTGAATCTGCACACATGGTGCAGGGAGTAATGTGAGTACTCCGACCCAGTGAGTAATAATAATAAATAATAACCGGAGGCATGAAAACACATAACTGCACAAAGCAATTCTATATCAGGCAGTAAAACAGTGAAAACGGTAGAACAGTAAAAAGTCGAATGAAGTCTCCTTTTAAAATTAGGTAAATCAGGTAAAACAACAAGTAAATAGTGAGTAGAAATCTGCCCCTCGGGCTTAGTATCAATCGCTCAGCATAATATCAGCCCCCCGGGCTCACTCTCATATCACATGGGTACCCGCGCTCACTGTGGGTGTGCAGACTCCGGACGGGCCCCATACGGCCCAAGCGCTATATCAACATAAGGCCTGAAAGCGTTCACACATCACACTCGAGGCCTAAAAGCCTCCTCACATATCACTCGAGGCCTGAAAGCCTCCTCACAATACGCTCAAGGCCTGAAAGCCTCCTCACAATACGCTCAAGGCCTGAAAGCCTCACTTAGTCCAGAAATATCATAAGCCCCTCGGGCATCAATAAAATAATAGTTCTCAGCCCAAACAGCAGTGAAAATGTCATTAAAATCTCAGAATTCAATTAAGGCGGCTGAGTTTGCAAAACAGTATAATTATAGGGACTGAGTTCAAATAACGTATCAAAATAGTGAGGAAATAGTGATAACGAATCCCTGAAGGATTCAAGTAATCGGCATTAAGCCCAAATAACGATGATAAATGAATCAGCTTAGTCAATTACGTGGTAAAATATCAAATGGGACGGACCAAGTCACAATCCCCAGTAGTAAACAACCCCGCGCTTGCCATTACGCGCGTGTTTCACCTCAATATAGCACTATGTTGTGCAAATCCGGGGTTTCAAACCCTCAGTATATCATTTACTATCATTACTCACCTCAAGCTGGCCAAAGTCCTAGCTCGCTATGCCCTTGCCTCGCAAATCAATCGCGCGTCGAATCTGGCCAAAACCACAACGAATACGTTACAATAGGCTAAGGGAATATAACCCAATCGAAAAGACTCGAAAAACATTGAAATTCACGAAGTTGGCAAAACCCGAGCCCTGGGCCCACTTCTCGAAAAATCAAAAAATTCACATCACCGGACTCCTCGTCTCGCCACGAGTCTATACATACCAAAAACTCCCAAATCCGAGCCCAAATGACCCATCAAACCCCAAATTTTCAGTTCAAAAGTCAAGCCCTAATTCATCCCTTTTTAATCAAATTTCCATGAATTTAAGTGTTGAATCCACAATTAAATGATGTTTCTAGGCCATAAGACTCACCTCCAATCAATTCCCAGTCAAAACCCTCTTTAATCCTCGTCAAAAGCTCTCAAGGTTACTCAAAAAATGGTGGAAATGGGACTTGGTTCGCGGATGAAATGTTATTAAAACCATTCTGCCCAGGTGAATTTTTACCCTATGCGATCGCATGAAAATCCCTGAGATCGCGATGCACATTACTCTTAAGCTATGCGAACGCGGGCCCCTGGACGCGATCGCAAAGAACAAAGCGACCTGCCCTCGAATTCCTTCTATGCGATCGCACAGACACTACTGCGATCGCGATGCATTAACTGATGACCCTCTGCGATCGCAACCACTTGAACGCAATCGCATTGAACAAATCTCTTATCCCTCCAGTTGCTTATATGCGATCGCGACATCACCCCCCGCGATCGCGTTGAACAAAATCTCTGCAACAAATAGCTGGAAAAACCTGCAACCTTCAAAGGCCGAGATTGGTCCGATTGACCATCCGAAATCACCCCGAGGACCCCGGGACCTCAACCAAAAGTGCCAACCCATCTTAAAACATCATTCGAACTTGCTCCAATCATCAAAACACCACAAACAACACCAAAACCATCAAATTACATCGGATTCAAGCCTAAGTTCTTCTAAAACTTCCGAAACACGCCTTTGATCAAAAACCCAACCAAAACACCTCCGAATGACCTGAAATTTTGCACACACATCCAAAATCACCTAACGAAGCTACAGCAACTCTGGGAATTCCATTCCGAGCCTCGAATCAAAATCTCACCTATCAACCGGAATTTGCCAAAATACCAACTTCGCCAATTCAAGCCTAATTCTACACCGGGCCTCCAAAATGAATTCCGATCACACTCCTAAGTCACCAATCAACCCCCGAAGCTAACCAAATCACCGGAAATCACATCCGAGCCCTCTAACTCATAGGTCAACATCCGATTGACTTTTCCAAAACAAGCTTTCCTTAAAGAGACTAAGTGTCTCATTTCCATCCAAAACCAATCCGAATCGACTCATTCACCCGAGACTCTTGTTATAAGACATAATGAAGCAGAAAATGAGGAAAATGGGGCGGTAACTCACGTGACGACGGACCGGGTAGTCACATCCTCCCCTACTAAAACAAACGCTCGTCCTCGAGCGAGTCAAGAAACATACCTGAAGTCTCAAACAGCTGAGGATATCTGCTCCGCATCTCTCGCTCGGTCTCCCAAGTAGCCTCCTCCACGGGCCGACCTCTCCACTGCACCTTTACCGAAGCTATATCCTTTGATCTCAACTTTCGAACCTGACGACCCAAAATAGCCACTGGCTCCACATCATAGGTCAAATCATCATCCAACTGAACAGTGCTGAAGTCCAATACATGAGACGGGTCCCCAACATACTTCCGGAGCATAGACACATGAAATACCGGATGCGCGCTCGAAAAGCTGGGTGGCAAAGCAAGCTCATAAGCCACCTCCCCAATCCTCTTAAGCACCTCAAAAGGCCTAATGAACCGCGGACTCAGCTTCCCTTTCTTCCCAAACCGCATAACACCCTTCATGGGCGAAACCTTCAGCAAGACCTTCTCACCTACCATATAGGACACATCCCGAACCTTCCGGTCCGCATAACTCTTCTGACGCGATTGTGCTGTACGAAGCCTCTCCTGAATCAGCTTCACCTTCTCTAAGGCATCCTGAACCATCTCTGTCCCCAATAACCTAGCCTCTCCGGGCTCGAACCAACCAACTGGAGATCTACACCGCCTCCCATACAACGCCTCATACGAAGCCATCTGAATGCTCGACTGATAACTGTTGTTGTAGGCAAACTCTGCAAGCGGCAAAAACTCATCCCAAGAACCCCCAAAATCAATGACACAGGCACGCAACATATCCTCTAGTATCTGAATAGTACGCTCGGACTATCCGTCCGTCTGAGGATGAAATGTTGTGCTCAACTCCACGTGAGTACCCAACTCCCGCTGAAAAGACTTCCAGAACTGAGAAGTGAACTAAGTGCCCCTATCTAAGATAATCGACACTGGAACCCCATGCAACCGGACAATCTCCGGGATAAAGATCCCTGCCAGTCGCTCCGAAGAATAGGTAGTACATACCGGAATGAAGTGCGCGGACTTGGTCAGCCGATCCACAATCACCCAAATCGAATCAAACTTCTTCAAAGTCCGAGGGAGACCACTCACGAAATCCATAGTAATCCTCTCCCACTTCCACTCGGGAATAATCATCCACTGAAGTACACCACCCGGTCTCTGATGCTCATATTTTACCTGCTGACAGTTGAGACATCGAGCCACAAATCCTACAATATCCTTCTTCATCCTCCTCCACCAATAATGCTGCCTCAAATCCTGATACATCTTCGCGGCACCCGGATGAATGGAATTGCGCGAGCTGTGGGCCTCCTCCAATATCAACTCCCGAAGCCCATCCACATTGGGCACACAAATCCGCCCTGCATCCTCAACACGCCAACATCATCAATAGTCACATCCCTGACATCATCATGCTGAACCCTATCCTTAAGGATAAGCAAATGCGGATCATCATACTGGCGCTCTCTGATGCGGTCATACAAGGAAGACTGAGAAACCACACAAGCCAACACCCGACTAGGTTTCGAAATATCTAATCGCACCATCCGATTGGCCAAAGCCTAAACGTCAACTGCAAAGGGTCTCTCCCCAACTGGAATGTACGCCAAACTCCCTATACTAACCGCCTTTCGGCTCAAAGCATCGGCCACTACATTGGCCTTCCCCAGGTGATACAGAATGGTAATATCATAGTCCTTAAGTAACTCTAGCCAACTCCGC